AGTTAAAATGAAAAATTATAGAGAAGTTAAACCCTACAGTAATGTTACCTTCCTCCAGGGAGGATTTATGTTTGCTTCTGGGAGATGACTAGTAAAACTGGCAGTAGTGGATCACTTTGATGCACTCAGGAGTTAAGGTGATTTGAAGTCCTTTGGAGGCTATACTGTTTCCACTCATCTTCCTTGTACTGTATAACACTTCAGAGATCCAACTCCGAGAGTGGAGGGGGAGGGGTTTACTAGGCCTTTCCTTCTAGGTGGTCCTGCAATTTCAGTTCTGGACCCCCAGACCTGGGAGCCTGTGGAAAGTACTCTACTGAGTTTTTATTGTCCAGTTCTGGGTTTGGAAGATACTCCCACAGGAAATGTGGTCCTCAACATTGAGTTCCCTTTATTTCTTAAATCTTAACTCCATAATTCTTAACTTCTAGAAACATAACTTTCATATTTTGTTTAGCTTTTCTAATTGTTATCAGGGAGGTTTTTCTGATTTACTTACTCTGTCCCACTGGAAGTAGAACCCTGGTATTTTGTAAAAGTTCCTTTGATGAGTAAACTACATCTTCCTTGTTTGTACCACTCTAACCACTCAAGTCATCATGCCGTTTCTTAGCCTGCTCTTGTCTTAAAACCTAAGTACTTACCTGCTTTCTCTGCCTTGTACTCTATTTCTCTACATGGATGAAAATCGCTCACTCTTGTACTTTTTTCAGCTCTTCATTAAAGTGTCACTTCATTCAGTATAAAATAGAAACACCTCAAGTCTTTTGCTCCCTCCTCCCACCCCCATTGCTTTCTACCATCTGACATGCTAATTTAGCTCCTAAATTATTGAAGTGAATTCCACAATGAGTTGCTAACTTCAAGGTCAGTGGTTCAAACCCACTAGCCCCTCTGAGGGAGAAAGATGATGCTGTCTGTCCCTGTAAAGATTTATAATCTCGGAAACTCTAAGGAGCCATAATTCTCTGTCCTATGGAGTTGTTATGAGTTGAAATAGGCTTGATGAACATGATTTGGGGACTGTTGTGTAACTTCTTTGAGAACATGTACAGTGTTTTGTTGTGTTACAAGTCTAGCACTAAAAATTGTCTTGCATATTTGTTGGTGAATAAATTTATAATGTGATGATAAAAACCCTGGCTTTGTAGAGTACTTATGAGGATTAAGGATATGTATAGCAAAAATACTAAGAACAGTGCCAGGTATGTTACCTTTAAAATTAAAAAAAAATTTTTTGCTGCCTCAGAAATGATTGGTTCTCATTACTAGATATTGAGGAGGTTGAAAAGTAAGCCTATTTACATATGATCATCCCCCCCTCCCAGATTATGATTATGATGGTGTTATATACTGTTTCCAAGTGGTCCAGTGGCTGAGGTATTTGGCCCTAGATCTCTATTTATGTAGTTGGAAGATTTATAGAAAAGATTTGTTGGTTCAAGCCTGTTCATGTTTTCCAGGCAATCAGGGTACTACTTCTACTGTAACTTAATGAGCAGGAGAGTGATTGAATAGACATAGTTCCTTTTTTAACTTTATTTCTTAAAGACTGCATTCTGGGGGGCTGGCATGCTCATAGTTTTATGTAATGCAAATGAAATACAATACTGAGCAGATACTGCCTTTTGAAGAGAACATCAAGATTGATTGGCCGGAGTAGTAAGTATTGACCCAAGCAAAAGCTGAAGTCAATGTTTTTACCCCAAGGGACAATAAATCTTGATGATTAGAGAATATGTAGTTAATCTCAGTATTATTACAAACTTTCACTAGAAGTATCTGGACATTTTGTGGCTTGAATCTCTTGAGTGTAACTTTCCTTTAGGAAAAACCCAACAACCAGCTTTTGCAAGGAGCTTGGGTTAGGATTGTTCTGCACCTGTGTCTGTGAAGACACAACATTATTCGACTTTTTTGTCTGATTTTTTTTCTAAGTTAGAAAATATTGCTTCTGCCTTAGGGCTGACAGTGTTATTTATTAACTAACTGCTTATCCAAAAACTTTACTAATATCAATTCACTTAGTTTTGGCTCCATAACTATTATGTTGTTTTTAAATTTTGTGATAGATACAAGATGAGAACATCTGTTTTTTTAAATTATTATTATTAAATATTTTTATTGGAGGCTCTTACATCTCCCATCACAATCCATACATTCATCTATTGTGTCAAGCACATTTGTACATATGCTGCCATCATTTTCATAGCATTTTCTCTCTACTTGAGCCCTTGATATCAGCTCCTCATTCCCCCCCCTCCTCCATGAACCCTTGATAAGTTATAGATTATTACTTTCATATCTTATATTGTCCGTTGTCACCCTTCACCCACTTTTCTGTTGCTTGTCCCCTTGGGAGGGGTTGCTTTTTTTTAACATTTTATTAGGGCCTCATACAACTGTTATCCCAATCCATACACACATCAATTGTGTAAAGCGCATTTGTACATCGTTTCTCAAAACATTTTCTCTCCACT